AAAAAGAAAGGCAGAATTAAAACTGTTTTCATCCTTTTGACCTTCTGTGACTCATTTATCAATTTAGCCCCTAGGTTTGACTGTTACCACATTTCCCAATCATCCCTCAGACTTCAGGGGCAAATGAAGGGAGCTGAACATCTGAGTGTCCACATCAGGAGATTTCTTTCTGCTGCAGTTGTGCCATTCCACAGGAGCACTGTTTTTCTCTTTAATGGCAATCACCCACTTTGGACTCAAGTTTGAGTTCAAGCCCCCAGTCATACTTGTATAGCTCTGAAAAAAAAACACTAATAAAAATAAGATTTYGAGATTTTGGGAGGGATTTTGGTCTATACCTGCATCTTTTTTGTCAATTCATCTGTTTTTTTAACACTGATTTTGCAATATTGATTACTGACTAGCACACAGATCTACTGGACAGATGTGGCTGATCTTTCTGTTTGTGTTCTGCCCAGAGCCAACTTCATGCAGGGTTATTTCATTTTACTGTGCCTCAAATTGYAAATTAGGACATTAAATTACCCTCCTTAAAGTGTTGTCTGTAATACAGCTTGAAACATCATACGTAGGTTATTTTAAATGTACTTTAAATAATTTTTTTAACTTATAGTGTAGCACCCTGCCATTCACCACTTATCTAGAACTCAATTCTTGGAGCAGCTGAACATCATCTCCTTCCTGTAGCTGATGTGGGAGTCCTGCATTTCCAAAATTTCAGCCTTACCAAACTCAGAGTGATTTAAGGGGGGAAAATTTCTTTATRAGCAGCACCTCAATCTGTAACTGATCCCACAGAATGAGGAGCAACACACATTAACCTGGTTATCTTGAAATTTCTGAGCTGCAACTTTTTGCTTAGTCAGACCCATACCAGGGGAGTACAGGAACAACAAAATGAGGACAAAACAGGGGTACATCCATTGAAAAAGCAGCAGTGAGAGTTCTTTTCTTAGATCACAGTGGGGCTGATGGAGAATTGTATAACCAGAGACATGGATCAGTGAATACCTGGATGAGTCTGATACAGGAAAAGCTCCAGTTTGGCACTGATGAGCCAAGCAYCTTTGTGTATTGCTGACCTGCAAGAGAGAAAATGCCTCAGAGATCCTCAGCCRTGTGAATAAAAGCAGAACTTCATCTGGCAGGGCTGAATTCTCACTCCCCAGAGGAACAGTGGAACATTTCTGCAATGTCCAACACCTTTCACCAGCACATTGAGGCATTGATTCATGAGACCCCATTACACGGCTGGAACACTTTATTAGAAGTACTAACACATTGTAAAGTGTGTTTTGACACTGTCAGAACCCGTTTTCACCTCCTTTTATGGTTAAATTCTTTCCTATWTGGATGAATAGTTAAAAGCAAGGTGAAAAGATCGTATTTAGCCAGATTTAACTGATCACAGAATGGTTTGGGTTGGAAGGGAATTTAAAGCTCGCCTCATTCCACCCCTGCCATGGACAGGGACATCTTCCACTATCCCAGAGTGCTCCAAGCCCTGTCCAGCCTGGCCTTGGACACTTCCAGAGATCCAGAACAGCCACAGCTTCTCTGGGCCAGGCCCTGTGCCAGGGCCTCTCCACCCTCACAGGGAAGAATTTCTCCCCAATATCCAAATCTGAATCCATCCTCCTTCAGCCAAGATAAGATGTTTTTATGCTTTGGACACTGAAGTATTAAAACACCAAGTGGAAATGGTTTGGGGAGAAAAATTCCCCTTTTTCTTTGCCCATCAGTCCACCATCTTCTCAAGATAACAAAACCTTATTTTGAAGGAATGAAACACAGGATTCAGGAGAAACATCCTGGACTCAAATGCATCTGTATCCCCGTGCAAAACCAGAGAAAAAGAGAGAAAATATTCTTCCACTCACTTTCCTTTGTTAAACACCGAGAAGCTGACRTTGTGGGACCCTGGGGGAGAGAAAAGTGACAATGCTTTATGGCAGAAATACAGAGTAAATCCTACCAAACCTTGTCCAGGTCTCTGGGCCTGATTCTCCCTTCTTTACACTTCTCTTACAACAGCAAGGAAAGTCCATTTTACTCAAAGTATCTTTTCCAAAGGAGAATGCTGCTCCTTCTCAAAACCTCAAGAAATTAAAAGCTTCTTCAGAGTGCTTGAAAGTAAGGAAATATGAACTGGATCCACCTGCTATTGGAGAGACTCTGAATAGCAGCAGACAACAAATTTATTCCTTTAATGAAGCACTGAAGGGAAGGCCCAACACAGACAGGAAGGATTAAAGCAGGAAACTGAGAAAGGACCCCAAATCCCACTGTTGGTGTCAGCAATGTCCACACCCTTCATGGTTTCCCTTCATGTTCTCCCAAACTGGGCAGAGGACACAAATCAGGGCAGGGGCTGTGCTGAAACCTGGCGAGTTTGGATCTGAAGCTGCTTTTATGGACTCAGCCCTGAGACACCTTCCCAGCTCTGGAGACAGAACAGAAACTCGTGACTGACACCCTCCCTCCATCCTCTGGAGCTGCAGGAAYGATGGAAATCCGTGGGTTTTACCCCTTTTCACCAACCTATGTGGTTCCCTTCCACCCGGCACTGCAGGGTCCCCACTCCATCCTTTGCCAGAAGAGGGTATCTGTGGACAGACAAAGAATTTCCCTGAGCTTTGGAAGGAAAAAACAAAATACTGTAGAATAAATCAACCAATAGAAGATAAAGGGTTTTACAGCTAAGAAAGTCATGGTTTGCTGTCTACAGAAACATGGGAGTGGRGCAGGTGAGAGGGGAGAGAACAACCCATCTTCCCACTAATGACCCAGAGTTCAGCAGCTTGGGAGGATCTCCCAGCACCAGTGCTCCTGCTTGGCTCCTTTACACCCATTTCTAGAAGCTGATGCTGTTGGTGACCTTCAGAACCCCTATTTGAAATTAAAAGCTGAGCAGGAACAAGCACAGGCACAAAGGGAGGGTGAATAGGAGGACAAAAATTGCAATTGGACACTTCTGCTTGCTCCTATGCAGGTCCCTAAACTGTCAGAGGGAGCAGGAAKCAATTAAACCAGGTATGCTGGCATTACCTCACCCTCTGGAGTCATGGAATGGCACAATTCCMATCAGTAACTCACAGAGAGCCAGCAACCCTCACCCACCCCACCAGAGCCCATAATTCCTCAGASTCTCTCTCCTCTTTGGGCCAAAGTAGAAGAGTTTCTCCAAAAGCCGTGAAAATTCTTGTGCACRAGCTGCACTGAGCCCTTGCACCAACACAAACCCAAAATAAGCCAAAGACTGACATGCTTCCAGCTCTCCTGTCAGCAAAAGAGCAGAGACTGGTCCATCCATCTCCTTCTGATGTGAGAACAGCTGGCCTGG